CTTTTACACCCATGAATTTTTGCGCTTTGTGAGCTTTTTATTATGAATTTGTTACATTAACGACATTTATATATTTTTATGTTACACAGGTGATTATCAGTTCTCAATTTTTTATCTAGAGTTTAGATCATATACAGTACCACATTTATTAGACATTTGTATGGTGCGATTATTTTAGTTATGAATACCATTAATAAACCAGTGGATTTTTATTGACTTGTTTACTCATAGATCATTGTTTTATCATTTGCTAAAAGACGAATAGAGTGTGAGTTTTGGTTCCTTTCTTTCTGAGTTGATAACTTTTACTCCTCCTACTAAACAGTTAATTTATATTTTTTTACCTAAATGACATTATCTTCAATCTGATTTTATTTTTACATCTCCCAGGTCTACCTAACTGGACGACTCCGTTGGCCACTTTTTGCGATCATTGTGTCGTATAAGCAAAAAAATTTATTCTTTGTGGCTGGTGAGCCCCGACTTTTTCCAATGTACACAACAACGACAAAACGGACATTAGGCTATCCCGCTCGATGTGGTTACAGCGCTAATGACTACGCTGACACTCACACACACGTTCAGTCGTAAGCTCCACAATGCACATCGGACCAGCGCTCGCTGACTATGTGCTCGGATCTGAAATCTCACTTCATAGCACATCATTCCACACCAGCACGGGGCAGTAGCTCTTTTGGCTAAGAGTGATGACTTGTGGCCTATGGTGACTAATGTGTGCATTCGATCAATTGAAATCCATTGTATAGGTCTTACGTCTTGCTCTGATGTGCTAGCCCATAAGCGCAAGAAGTGAGTGTGTTTAGCTTTCTATTCACCCAATTTGAAAGTGAACAGAAACATAACGAGACCATACTAGACGACAAACGGTGCGTACTAATGCACTACACCATCACACCTGTAGACATCAACAGTATTAAAAATCAGTATATCAAATATTTGTTCTTTGTTACATATGATCTACACACAGAGTGATTAGAGTGTTAGTTGATTCTCTCCCTGCCCCCTAAGCATTTAACTTCGTTCTTCATCTTCACAAAAGTCTTATCACTCATTTTATATTTTGTTATGATTTTTATTTTTTATTCAATGACACCATCTTCTAACTGTTTTATTATCGCATCTCTCAGGTCTACGAAACTGGACGGCTCCTTTGGTCAATTTTTGCGATCATTGTGTCGCATAAACAAAAAATTTTGCAGCTCAAAATTAATTGGGAGGCAGCCGCCGTCTGCTGCGGCAAGAATATTTAGGCCGTTTATCAACACTGGTTGTTACAACAATTAAATAAAATTTGTAACAACACTAAAACTTGCAGGTTTATTTGATCTTAGAATTAGAAATCCCAATTTAGGATTTGTAAACTATATCATTTTATTTATTTTAATTACGTCTTTCATTATTTTAATTACGCCGATCTGTTGCATTTTTAATAATACATTAAATACGAGATTAAAAAAATCGCAAAGATGCTTGATGTTTTCATTTTTGTTTGTTATTTTCCATTCTTATTATAAATTTATTAGGTTTATGTTGCAAAGTAAAGTTGAAAATATTAACAAGGTGGTTATATTTTTTTCTGGAAAAATCTTCATATGAATCAATCCTGAATTTTTATTCAATAAACTTATTAATTTATTTTTTAATTAAAGTGATATATATATATATATATATATATATATATATATATATATATATATATATATATATATATATATATATATATATATATATATATATATAAATATATATATGTATACATATATATATATATATTTATATATATATATATATATATATATATATATATATATATATATATATATATATATATATATATATATATATATATATATATATATATATATATATATATATATATATATATATATATATATATATATATATATATATATATATATATATATATATATATATATATATATATATATACATATATATAATTGGCTAATTGCATACATTTTTCTGTCTTCTTTCTTATTCTTTTTATATGCTTCAACCATTCTGCTAAATAAAAAGGGGTATAAGCTCCATAATTTAAACTATATTTAAAGGATAAATTGAACTATTTATAAAAAAAAATATCTTTTCTTTTCAATTTAAACTGTATCTGTGTAATGTTTATAAAATTAAAACATGAATTTTATTTATCTGATCAATGTTATTTAATTGTTTTAACCACCTTTTTAAAAAGTTGGCATTAACAGGGAGCATTAAGCCCCTCGTGGTGTAGTTAAGGCAATTTACAAATTTTTTGAATTCTTTTATTTGGAATTAGCATGGTTTTGCCAGCATGTTATGTCTAAACAAGATCTTTAAATGTTATAATTTTTTTGTTTTCTAATGTTATAATCTTTTCTTTTTTATCTATAATTTTTAAAAAATTTTTACTACCCATAATTGTAAATCTAAAGAACACCCATTTAGAGTCTTTAGATCAAATCCGTTTATCGGCGTTAACATAAAAAAGTTAACATTAAAAAGCGTTAACATAAAAAAGTTAACTTTAAAAAGTGTTAACATTAAATTTACTAAAAAATATTTTGATAAAAAATTTGACAAGAGGTATAAAAATCCAAAGTCAGGAAGGCTTCGAATTGCATCTGAAAGAAAGGTAAAATTTTAGTTGCTGCAAAAAAGGATTCATGCAAAAATGCTGTCTTGTTAAATGCTGAAATGAAAGAATTTTATAATGTAAAATGTAGTGTTGACACAACCAAGCGTCGTTTGAGGTCTTCAAATCTATTTGGAAGATGTCCTGCAAAGAAATTTTTTTTTTGCATGAAGAATCGAAAAGCACACTTGAGATTTGCTAGAATTGGTCAAGAGAACAATGTTCGAAAGTACTTTTTAGTGATGAATCTAAGTTTATGTTATTTGGATCTGATGGTATTATATATATATATTCGTTGACCAAAAGGCCATAGAAACGATCCTAAATACCAGCTACCAACAGTAAAGCAAGGGGGTGGAAACATTATGGTCTGGGGTTGCTTCAATAGAGATTGTTTCGGTCTATCCATTTGATTGATGGCATAATTGACAAAAATATGTACAAAGATATTATTAAGGATGTTGTTCTACCACATGCTAAAGACAAAATGCCTCAAGGATGGATATTTCAGTAGGACAATGACCCAAAGCACAATCAACCCTTGTGAAAAACTTTTTCAAGATCAAAAAAATTTGATTAATGGAATGGCCTTAATCCTATTGAACGTCTATGAGAACACCTTGATTGACAAATTTCAGGTCGTTAACCAACAAATAAGCATTTATTTAAAAATCTAAAACAAGCATGGGAAAAAATAGATAATAATGTGATTGTGAAGCTGGTGGACTCAAAGTCTTGTCGCTGTCAAGCAGTAATCAATGCCGAGAGTTTCCCGATGAAATATCAAAGAAATTTACTTCAAATTATGATATTTTTAATTTAAGAAATGTTTAAAAAAAAAAAACTACTTCAAGTATTTTTTTCTGCCCGGATATTTTTGCACGCGCATATTTTAATAAAATATGCGCGTGCAAAAATATATATATATATATATATATATATATATATATATATATATATATTATATATATATATATATATATATATATATATATATATATATATATATATATATATATAGGATGTTACCCAGGAAAAAATTTCATACAGCGTTTTTGCGAAATTGGGAATTTAGGTGCAGCTAAAAAAAAAAAAAAAAAAAAGTCCTTACATTCTAAAATTAAATTTTAATCAAAATAAATTTACTATTCTTGCTGGGAGTTAAATATACAGCAGGATTATTTTTCTACTTTATATATGTTTAATTTTAATTAATCAACTTGTTTCATTATGAGCAATACTCTAAAGTTTTCATTTAAATTCGCTTCTTTTCTTTGTTTTTGATATACTGCAGCGGTTTTTCAAAGTGCCTTAATTACTTATTTCGAGAAAAGCGCAATTAAAAAAAAAATGAACAAAATAAAAAATAAAAAACTTAACTCGAGAATAAGTGACGTCAATAAAAATTTAAAAAAGAAGAATTTTTCAAACTTTTGAATGAATGAACTTGTTAAGGTTAATGACGCTTGTTAATGACGACACGTTTTTACACATAAAAAAAATCGATCAATTTAATTTATTTTTTCGTCATGCATACTAATTTTTACTAGTCTAGCACGACACTAAATCTGAGACTGACTTAATTTTTTTTTTTTCACTACGATCTTATAAACCTTTGGGAATTTTAAACCAATTGGGAATACAGCGTTATACGCGGTGCCATCAGGCTGACTAACAGCCTGATATATATATATATATATATATATATATATATATATATATATATATATATATATATATATATATATATATATATATATATATATATATATATATATATATACAGCATTTTTATGATGCAATTTCTGTTTAAAAAAAAGAAAAAATAAGAAGTTCAAGATACATTAAAAAGTTAAGTTTCTTCAATGCCATATCTCATGTATATCAATGGTATTAAATCAAAAATCAATGTTATTTAGTTCCAAACCTTTTACCAAAGCATCTTTTTTTATGAAGCATTTAGTTGAAAATTGCAATCAATTAGATTATGTTATCAAGTGCCGCTTTAATAATTGATTTTAAAATTAAACTTGAAAAATTTAATGAAAATCAAGTTCAAATCTAATTAGATTATAAATCATTAAAGTTTTGTTAAAATACTCTTAAGAATACTCAAGAGAAACCCAATACAAATGTGTATGTGAGTTAACATACATATTTGTTAGTTTTTTACTTGAGTCTCTTAAATCTATACTAATTTCTTTAATTTTATTTAAGAAATCATTATAGTTATTATTATTATTATTTTTATTATTAATATTATAGCTTTTGATATTCCTATAAAAGTCCTACAAGTTGGACTTCCCATATAATTTATCCTATAATTGAGTTAGTTATTATGTTAACTATAATTATATTGTATTATAGATTTTTTTTCAGAATTAAGTAAATCATGAAAATCACTTTCATTATCAAAAAGTTATTTTACAGTGAAGGTTCGGCACCATTGCCAATTAGGATTTGTTTTGTATTGTTTACAATTACAGTAAGTAATTTCAATTTTTGTAAAATAATGATTATAAAGTCACTGTAATAGTTTCATAATTTATTTTATACCATATATTTATCTAAAGTGTACTCAAATCATATATTCTTAATTAAGTTTTCTTTGTTCTTAAAAAGAGCAATAGAACAAACAATAAAGAATAACAAACAGAGCAATAATAAATTAAATTAGTAGAAAATCAGTTATCAAACTTTTTTTTTTACTGTAAAATGAAAAAAGTTAGATAAGTAATTTTCTACTAATTTTATATCAGGGATGAACCCAGACCTGTTTTAGTACCGTTGGAGCGTTATGGGCGCCCAAAAAAAGCGCCCAAAAATTATTTTTATTTTCTAATTTTTCTAATAAAATTGCTTTTTTACTTAATTACAGGCTGTCAAGTTGTCATTTTTTTCATTTTTTTCTGGGTCTTTTTTATTAAATTATTTTTTTTCATTTTTTTTTTAAGTATTTTGATTTTTTGTAATTTGAGTATATACTCATATTATGATTATTGAAATAAACTTTACAATAAATATTCTCTTATAGTCATTTTTTTATTTTAGTTTTTTTTTAAGTAATTTTTTGAATTGTTAAACTGTTTTTATTACTTTTATTGGTTGATAAACTGAATTGAGAACTAAATTTTGAATAAAATTTTTAGTATTTGTAAAGTTGCTTGTATCTATTTTTAATTTGTAGTATAGTAATCAATAGAAAAGTCAAAGTCATAATGGGTAAATGTAATGAGGTTTGGCTGGAAAAGCTTAACAAAAATCACGTTAAAATTAAACTAAATTGGGCTGAGGAAAAAAACTCTTATTATGCAGTCTGTAAACTATGTTTTAGTGATTTGAAATACAGTTTAATTGGTTTTCAAACACTTTATCAGGATTCTACACAACCTAAACATAAATTAGTTTCTGATGTTAGATGATCAAAAACAGCTTGTCATTTATATATAGATTCAAATAAAAACTCAATTGAGAAAGTATATCTATTACTATTACTACTATTGGGGAGAGAAAGTAGTGCAATTAGAGTATTCTATAAATGATAAAATTTATAGAATACTCTAATAATTAATTTATAAAATAATCTAAATTTTCAGCTACTTGAACAGATATGTGGCTGTTTAAAGTAGCTGAAAAAGATCTTGCAATAAGTCATTGTGATAATACTTTATTATTTTAAAGAATGTTTCCAAATAGTCAAGGTTTTAGTATGAGTATTCAAGGTTTTAGTATAAGTAGAAAAAAAACTTCATATGTATTTTAAGATGGCTTAGGATCTTTGTTGGATCTTGTTTGATCTTTTGTTTGTTTGTTGGAGAAATGTGTTTTAGTATATAAATAAGTTAAGGTGCTTTTACTTTAATGTTTGACAACCACAGCTCAGCAAAAAAAAAAACAGATGGATCTTCTATGTCGTTTTTGGTCATAAGAAGAGAACCAAGTCATAAGAAGAGAACCAAAAAAAAATGCTTACAGATATACATCTAATGAAAGATTTGATTTATTATGGGATTTTGATGGCAAGATACTTAGAAATATTTTTGGAGTATATTCCAAAACAAAATACTTATTAATATTTACACTTATTAATATTTTATTTTATAAATTGAAGGATCTTTTAATATTATTGTTGATGCATTTTTTTAAACCTTCTGCTGTTAATGGTAAACTTTCCAAAGATCTTTTAAAAAATGATTCTTCTGATTCAACTATTCACCTTGTTTTAAATAAAATGGATTTTAGCGAGGAAGCTAAAAACCAAGTACTTTGCTTTTTAATATTTTTTAAAAGATAGAATGATTTTGAAATATTCATTCTAAGTATAGTTAACTTTTGTTGTAAAATAACTGATAAAAATTAAAATGATAAAAATAACTATTACAATGACTTTATAAAAGTTATGTTTTTAAATATATATGTTTTTTGATCAAAGATATATTTTGATCATAAATATTTTGATCAAAAATATATATTTATCAATATATATATATATATATATATATATATATATATATATATATATATATATATATATATATATATATATATATATATATATATATATATATATATATATATATATATATATATATATATATATATATATATATATATATATATATATATATATATATATATATATATATATATATATATATATATATATATATATCAAAAATATTTTGATCAAAAATATATATACTTTTAAAATTATGTTTACCGTTATTATCTTGTCTTTAATTATCTTTAATAGTAAATACGTTTAATAAATGCTTGTTTTTTATTCTAACATTTATTTGAATACAAGACATTTAACTATTTTGTTAATTATATAATGCGTTATGTTAATTATATTATATATGTTAATTATATTATATTATGCGTTATGTTAATTATATTATATATAACTATTTTGTTAATTATAAATTACAAATATTATGCGATTTAATATGTGTAAATAATTATGTAATTTAAATATTAACTACCAAAATTAAATTTACTAAAATATAGTTAATAAATGTTTAAAATACTTTAAACAATTTTCAATAATTATTTACTAATTGCATGATATTTGCAACAAAAGCGTTTATTAAAGTCTTAAGTAAAATAGTTTTCTTATTGTAACTAAAGTCATTGTCCACTGAAAAATTCCTGTATTCAAAAAAAATGCCTTTAACTCAACTCTTTATCTTAAGATACAACTAAAAAATATGAACACAAATGATTAAAATAATGATTGAAATAATGATGATTAAAAATGATTGTTGCAGCTCCCGTTTTAACTAGAGGAGACGGAGGGGAGGGGGAATAGAACTTAAAAACATCACAATCTCTCCCCCCAAGTTTATTTGGGGATAACAAGTGGTATCTCCAAATAAACTCTGGGTTCTTCCCTGAATATTGCTCTCGAATACTGACCACGGAAATTATATTTAGTTGCAAAAAACTGGCCAGGTTTTTTAGTTGTTTTGAGAACATTTACGTTTATGTACGTAACAAAAATTTTTTGCTATACGGACATACATGGAATTATAAAAAACTTGAATGTTCTCAAAACATCTTGGTGCGGAAGAATAAAAAGAATATTTGCGAACAATAAAAACCCGCCAAATTAACAAACAAACTAATTCTATTGGTTCTAAAAATATGCTGACTAAGCGAAATAAAGTTCTAAAGTATTCTGTTGAAATGCTTTAGAAATGGTATTATCCACGCTTTGTTATGTATTGAGATTTCTAGGATAAATTGTTTTAAGAATATATTATCAATAGTATGGCTCATTCTTGGAGCCACATCTACAAAGCCGTAAATCTTATAAACTATTATTATTTGTTTACGAAAATAAATGTTTTATATATCGTTGCATGAGAATTATAGGGTTCTATCTGCCTAGTTTTATGTTGAAAGAAATTAACAATCAAAGTTTTAAATAATAATAAATAATAAAAACAAACCACTGAAAAAAATGATATATATCATTTTTTAAGTGGTTTAATATAAAATATGTTAAATGGTGAAATATAGATAGCATAAACAATTTATAACTTATAATTATAATGAATAACAGCTGTAAAACATGTATGAAATAAATATTGAAAGTTAAGTTCTCACAACATAATAAAGGCAGATAGAACCCTATAATTCTAATGTGACAATATATATTATTTAAATTGTCAAAATTTTAATAGTTTATATAACTTATAGATTTTATTAGTATATTCTTATTTTTTATTTAAAAAGTATGTATTTTTTATGTAATTGTAGTTTTGTGTATCTGTTTTTTATCATTATGTAATCTTTTAAAGCAATTTTTGTAATTTAATTTGTAAACAAAGACTTAAAAAAATAATTGCGTTTTCAATGCAGTTATTAATAATCATTAAAGTTAATAAAACTAATTATGTAACAAACATATAAGAAGTTTCTGGTTACTAAGCGCAAACAATGCATACAAAGTAACTCGCGGATGAACAAGCACCGCACATGAGGTCACGACTAGAGTGTTATTACTTTTGTAATCGTAAGTTTATTGTTTTATTTTTTATTTTTTCGCTAACAAATTTAAGTTGATTTTCCCCTTAAAAACAAGGAACACGATTTTGTATAAACTAAATTTTTGAATACTAGATATTTTTCTAGATTTTCTGAATGTAACTCTAAAAAAACAAAAATAAAAACAGTACACAAATTATTTAAATTATTCATTTGTTTTTATTTTTTTCTATTTCAATCTCTTCTTATTTTGTTAGTTTTGTTTTTTTGCTTTTGAAACTTTTTCAGCATTATTATAAAACTTGCAAACGGACGTGTTCACTTTTTCTAAAGTATTATAATCGTGGCCATACGAGACGAAAAACCGCACGCCTTTCCTAGGAAGGAAATATATATATATATATATATATATATATATATATATATATATATATATATATATATATATATATATATATATATATATATATATATATATATATATATATATATATATATCAGTGGTGTACACTGGATTTTTAGATTACACGTATTATGCAAACTCCAAACTTTTGTATGTTCATACTTATGTCAAATGAGAATGTTTTGCAAAAAATTGTGGTGATTAGAGCTTGGGGAATAAAAAAAACAATTTTCGGGCCCACCTAGCCCTTATCCTGAGAGCAACAAGTTGACAAAATAATTTCGTTAGTATTTTTATCTAAGTTTATATTCATCAACGAATTTCAAATTTCATGCCATAACCTCTTAGTTTTTAGTTTTTATGACCCTACAAAGTTTACAGCCCCCTCAAATTGAGGGGGGTTAAAACTTTATATGGTCATAATTTTCGAAAAATAAGAAATTATTGGATGAAATTTGAAATTTGTTGATGAATATAAACTTAAATAAAAATACTAAAAAAATTATTTTATCAACTTGTTGCTCCCACATTAAGGGCTGGGTGGGCCCAAAAATTGGATTTTTTTTTGTCCCCAAGCTATAATCACCACA